AGGAAGGCTCATTTACTAGTAAGTTCACTAGGATATTTCAAGCAATTATATGTACTGGTTAGGTATATACTAGTACAATGGCAGGATAAAGAATGAGCAGTGGAATATATATACATATGTGTTTCACAGTACACATGCAAACCCGTGTATGCATGTGCTGTAAAATAGCAAACTTGCTGTGCCTGTCTCTGGTTTAACCCATAACTTGTCAATGCCTTGGATTGTGGAAAATAGAAGCAACCCCATGATGGGAAGAAAGTACTTCCTCCTCTGACTTATTCCCTCTTGTATGTATCTGATCACTTCTATACCTTCATCCTCTTCTGTGTTTACTGGGTTCTAGGCTCTACAATTATGTTCACTTTGTCCATCTAAGCCAGCTACTTGTCTTGCAGATTCTCCATTATGCCACAGTATAATACTATCCATTTGGAACTTGACCCAGTATTAAGCACTGTTGTCTTTAGAATGATGAACAGAGAGGATTGTCCTTTTATTAAAATACCATTCCTTTCCATGATAATGGCAGTTAGTATGTTTTCACATATAACCATATCACAATCACCCTCTCTTTGCTCTAGAGCAGAGACAGTCTTTGGAAAACAACCTTGACCAATAGATTTAGTCCTACTAGAGCTCCTGCCTTCATTCATTCATTCAACTAACACAACTCCCTCTGTCACAAGAACAACCGACACTGAGCCCTCAATGTCCCCCGCACTACTTCAATGTCATTTTTCTTCTAAGTTCTCAGTGCTGTCTCATGGGGTTTCCTCCCTTCCATCCTCCTCTCAGCTCTGGTCTGCTCTCTGGTTGACCCTGGTGCTTGGCTCAGGTAGATGTGTTACCATTAAGCTGTTCAATGTTCAATCAACAAGAATATATTATGAGATGAGTATACTCCTGTCATTGTGCCAGGCATTCAGAAGAAATATAAATATGGCCTCTGCCCTTAAAGTGCTTCCATCTAATTCATGAAAAATGATTAACATACCTGAAGATGATAGAGCTTAACTGGAGTTAGAGGGCAGGGCCTATTACGTCCATAAGGGTAAGAGTCATGTCTATTGCATTGTTTCTGAATCCTTAGAACCTAATCTTTTGCCTCACATGGAGTGGATACTCAGTCAAAATTTGTTGGTAGAATGAATGAATGAATGCTAGCATATTAGAATGGCATCATAGAAGAAGCGAAACTCAAAACAGGTGTTGAAGGATGGCAAGAAGTAGGGATTGATGAAGACAAAAAGGAGCAAGAGCATATTATTAATGGAAATAAATACAGTTGTGCATCATTTGATGACTGGATATGTTCTAAGAATTTGTTGTTAGATGGTTTTGTTGTGCAAACGTCATAGAGCACACTTACTTAAAACAAACCTGGATAGTAGAACTTACTACATACCTAGACTATATGGTATAGCCTATTGCTCCTAGACTATAAGCCTGTACAGCATGTTACTGTACTGAATACTATAGGCAGTTGTAACACAATGGTAAGCATTTGTATCTAAACATGGAAAAGGTACAGTAAAAATATAGTATAAAAGATTTTTTAAAAGGTACACCTGCTTAGGGTACTTACTGTGAATGGAGCTTACAGGAAGTGGCTCTGGGTAAATCAGTGAGTGAGTGTGAAGGCCTAGGACACTTTATAAACACTGTATACCAAGGCTACACTAGATTTTTAAAATTTCTTTCTTCGGTAATGAACCTTAGCTTACTGAAACTTTTTATTTAATAAACATACTTTTTTTTTTTAACTTTTTTGACTCTTTTGTAATAACATTTGACTTACACACATTATATGGCCGTACAAAAAATGTTTTCTTTAAATCTTCATTCTGTAAGCTTTTTCTGTTTTAAAATTATTATTATTACTTTTTAAACTTTCTTGCTAAAAGCTAAGACACAAATACACACATTAGCCTAGGCCTACACAGGGTTAGGGTCACGAGTATCATTGCCTTCTATCTCCACATCTTGTCCCACTGGAAGGTTTTGAGGTGCAGTAATATGCAGGGAGCTGTCATCTCCCATGATAACGACGCCTTCTTCTAGGTACCTCCTGAAGTACCTGTCTGAGGCCATTTTACAGTTAACTTATTTTTTCAGTAAGTAGAAGGAGTGTAATTCTAAAATAATAATTAAAAGTTTAGTGTAGTAAATACTAGATGACATGGATTTTTCAGCTTTATTGTAATATTATAAGAACACCGTCATATATGCAGTCCGCCATCAACTGAAACTTCGTTATGCTATGCATGACTGTACAGCAAGCTCGGGATGAGGAGTTGTACCTGATTGGAACACACTTTACATGTATCGATAAGTGTTGGAGAATAAGTCTCTCTCTTTAGGTCGAATGAAAGGAGTTCAGCCCTGTTAAATAATATAAAAAAGAATCATGAATGGTTTTTGTAGGTGAATGAAAGAGTGACAAGGGAAAGATAGTGTTTAAATGGTCAGGATCATGGGAGAGAAGCTGGAGTAAGGAAGCTCTGCAAGAAAGTGGCAGTGCAGGCATGGACAGTGAGAATGAGAGTTTGGAAGCGGGCAGTGAGAGAGCAGAAAGAGGCAAATATGAGGTTCCCCTGCCCAGCTCCAAGATGAAGTCTTGCTTTGCTGCCCAGACTAGAGTGCAGTGGCATGATCTCAGCTCACTGCAACCTCCCCCTTGCAGATTCAAGCAATTCTCCCACTTCAGCCTCCTGAGTAGCTGGGATTACAGGCATGCCACCACACCTGGCTAATTTTTTTTTTTTTTTTTTTTTTTAGTAGAGATGGCATTTCACCATGTTGGCCAGGCTGGTTTCGAACTCCTGACCTTCAAGTGATCTGCCTGCCTTGGCCTCCTAAAATGCTGGGATTACAGGTGTAAGCCACTGCGTCCGGCCAATATGAGATATTTTTATAGAAATATGACATAATCTCGTAACTGGGGAAGGATGAATCCATCATAACCACAAAGTACCTAGCAATCTAGCAATCTTATCCAAAGTTGGGAAGGAGAGATTGTTTTGGAAAGGACAGAAGTGGTTTTGAATAAGTTAACATAGGGATGATAGTGACTGCCAGTTGCTATCCAAATAGGGATTTAGGTCTTCAGAAGGGTAGAGAAGGTACATTAGAAATGTAGACTTGAGCATTGTCAACCTAGAGATTGTCAAGGAGTCATGTAGTTCTGCAGTGATGGCTATTAATTTCTCCCATAATGTGCTAGTTAGAATCCATTTTCACAACACTGATACAGATTGAATATCTCTTATTTGAAATGCTTGGGTCCAGAAGTATTTCTGAATCTGAATTTTTTCAGATTTTGGAATATTTGCATTATATTTTACCAGTTGAATATCCCTAAACCAAAAATCTGAAATTCAAAATGCTGCAATAAGCAATTTCTTTAAGTGTCATGTTGGTGCTCAAAAAGTTTCAGGTTTTAGAGCATCGCAGATATTGGATCTTCAGATCAGGGGTACTCAGTCTGTAATGATAGCGATGATAGCACATAACAGATAATAGCATCAGCAGCAGCTGAGATGTATTTGCAGTGTTGATCTCCCATTGAGATTTAGAGCCACACTGAATGTCTAGGTTAGTGATACTCTTAGGAAGTGGGAGGTTTGGGGTTTTCAGAGACATGTTGCAAATCACTAGGTGTTTGAGTGAGCTTGGAAGATTTCCACATTTACTATCCCTTGCCTGTACCTCCAGAGCTCTGCTATAGCTGAGATAGGCTTCCCATGTGGTGAGTTATCTTTGCCTTTCATGTGAGGTGCAGATGTACCACTGTACTTCCTCGTTAGGCAAAGTAATAAATACTTCCCTTTTTTTTTTTTTTTTTTGAGGCATCTCACCCTGTCGCCCAGGCTGGAGTGCAATGTCATGATCTCAGCTCACTGCAACTTCTGCCTCCCAGATTCAAACAATTCTCCTGCCTCAGCCTCCTGGCATGATCTCAGCTCACTACAACCTCCACCTCCCAGGTTCAAGCAGTTCTCCTGCCTCAGCCTCCCAAGTAGCTGGGATTATAGGTGCCTGCCACCACGCTCAGCTAATTTTTGTATTTTTAGTAGATGGAGTTTCACCATGTTGACCAGGCTGGTCTCGAACTCCTGACCTCGTGATCCACCCACCTCACCCTCCCAGTGTGCTAAGATTACAGGCATGAGCCACCACGCCTGGCCATAAGTACTTAACATTTAAACATATGTTGCATCATATACCACAATCTCAGATATGAGTAGATCATATTCATAAATTCTTTCTTAAAAATTATAATTGTGTTTCTGCTGTGGTATAAACTCTCAATTCCCATCAGATAGTTATCTGGATCAGGCATGGTGGCTCACGCCTAATAATCCCAGCACTTGGGGAGGCTGAGGCAGGAGGATTGCTTGAAGCCAAGAGTTCAAGACAAGCCTGGGCAACAGAGCAAGACCCTGTCTTTACCAAAAAAAAAAAAAAAAATTGCCAGGCACCATGGTTTTTGCCCTTGGAAGGCTGACACATGAAGATCTCTTGAGCCCCAGCTGCAGTGAACTATTATTGTGCCACTGTACTCCAACCTAGGCAATACAATGAGATCTCATCACTTAAAAAATAAAAATAAAAGACAGTTGTCCTTTACGATGGCTTTAACCTGAAATTCTTTCTGTCTAACTTGGTCAGGGTAGGAGTGATATTTTCCCCTTGAGTGACAGTTTCTTTTTGCAATGTTATCTCAGCCTATAATCCAGTCTGATATTTTAAAAGAAATTTTCTGTCTTGTAAGAAAATCATGAAGATCACCTTTCAATGATTTGCAAAGGGAAATGAATGTAATCCTATGAGAAGTTCAAAGGACTCTACATTACCTGTGGGATGAATGCATGAAGTCTTTGGTGCCATGCCAGACTACTTTTTAAATTATAACTATTTTGAAAAGAGCAATACAATTGCAAAGAGTAATACAGAAGCAAACCTGCATTTGGTTTTCTTCTCATCTACTGTCTCTATAGGCTTCTTCCATCGAGACTTAAAACCTGAGAACCTCCTCTGCATGGGACCAGAACTTGTGAAAATTGCAGACTTTGGTTTGGCCCGAGAAATCCGATCAAAACCTCCATATACAGATTATGTATCTACCAGATGGTGAATACTGTTTTTCTCAAAATCATTTATTTGCACTTCTTTAAAAAGATACCATTAAGCTAAGGATAATAATAAAGTCACAAACATTAACTTTTCACTAAGGAACAGTTTAGTCTGAAACATATATTTATAGATATGTTGGTAGTGTACAAGGTTAAAACTTTGTGTTATAAATCATGTTAAAAGAAAACCTATTATGCTTTTCTATAACATAAATAAAATTTTATATATAGGCCTTCCTGAGGACAGTTTCCCAAAAGAACTATGTAAAATATTCTCCAAAGACCTGTCTGTAAACCATCCAATTTCTATTGTGAAAACTTTGAGACACTAGGAATTTTGTTTTAAGCAGTTTGCCATGACCAAGTAGCCTACACACAAGTTGTAGGGTTTTTCTCCCTTTCCCTTTCTCTCTTAGTTTTTCCTTCCTCTTTCTCTTTTCTCTCTTTTTTCCGAATTCTTACTTTCTCTCTGTTTCTCAAAGATGCCATAGAGAAGACTCCTTAGAGAAATGCTCAATAGAAAATATTGTGAACTAAAGAGACACACTACTTGTCAACAGCAGCCCACGGTAGTTGTGAAGTTCTCCCAATTCCATTACACCACAGTGAACTACAGAGAAAATAGAAACATATCCACCCCCTCACTGAGAACTGATTGTTATTTAATTTAATGTCTGAGCAGTGGAAGCAATAGCTAGCAGTTCACCTTTGTTCCTCCAGGTACAGGGCTCCAGAAGTACTCCTGAGGTCTACCAACTACAGCTCCCCCATTGACGTCTGGGCTGTGGGCTGCATCATGGCTGAGGTGTACACCCTCAGGCCACTCTTCCCTGGGGCCAGTGAAATTGACATGATATTCAAAATTTGCCAAGTGCTGGGAACACCAAAAAAGGTAATGATACAGAACAAAGGCCAGTAGGCCAAACCAACAGCTTCCCATGCTCCCTCTGCCCAGCCCTGTTCAGCACTGGCACCATTGGGCATCTGCCCATTCTAGACTCTTTGTCTTGACCTCAGTCATTCTCCACTGCTCACGTTCTCAGACACATTCGGCTTCTCTTCTTCCTTTTATTCTTAAGTATGATATCTGTCATGGCTCCTTCTGCCTTTCTCTCTATATCATCTCACCTCCGTTGCAGAACTTCTCGGTTCTCATTGCTACAACTCGTGCCTGTTCAGACGTCTCTTGACCTTAATCCTTAGCCCCTGACTCCCTACATTATTACTCCACTCACATGTTTACAATTCTCTATGAGATTTTCTCCTGACTCCCTCACCATCACCTCAAACTCGTCATGTCTAAAACATTGCCATTTGTTTGCCATCCTGCTAGCTTCCTTCTTTCATTCTCCATTTCTGTTTGTGGTCTGATCATCATCCCAGAGCCCCCACCTTGAGGCTGAATTTCAGCTTTACCTTCTGTCTTTCTCTTACTCCCCTTTTCCTTGATCCAAGCAGTTGGTGGGTAAACGCTGTTAAATATTGCCACGTTACATGTCTCACATAGCTCCCGTCCTTTCAAGTCCACTGCTGCCATCACAGACTGAACCACAGTCACCTACCTGTGTCTAATGGTATCTTCTCCATCTTTCTGCCTTCAAGTATTTCCACCCTGGTTTTTTGTTCAGTCTGTGGCCAGATTCAACCTCCTAAAGGACAGCTCTGGTACTGCCTTCCCCTTGTAAAAGTATTGGTTGAATCCCCATTGCCCAGCCTCGTAACTCCTATTCCTATCCCCCACTTCACACCTGTACACCTAACAGCTGCGTGCCCTGGAATTTCCCTGCTTCTGTGTTCTGTACATACACCCTCTGCCTGAGTGATGTCTGTTACATGGCCATCAGTAATCCTCTTCCTCATGTTTCTCTAATCTCCTCCCCATCTTCAGCTGTGTTCTGTCTTATTAATATAATTATTTGTGTTAATAGTTGTTTCCTGGACCATAAGCTCATTCAGGACAAAGATTTGCTGTATGTTTATTTTCCCAGGTCCCAGGACCATTGCTGGTACAAACTAGATCCTCAAAAATTGTTTTAAATCATTTGAATGAATTACTAATGCCACTTCTTTAAGAAAGTTTCCTAAGTCCACTGCTGGAATCTTTCTCTGCATATCTGTACCTGTACCTCTCTTGCAGCTTTTGTCACTTTTTACTCTGCATTATTACTCTGTTTTTAATTAAATGTCCTCTTTTCTCTTTTAAGAACAGTAATGCCTTTAAGGGCAGGATTTATATTGGATCTCCAACAACACTAAGCACATAGGAGGCATTCCAGAACTATCAAGTGAATGAATGATAAAAGCTATACATATTGCCACTTGGCTTTAAAAAAGAGTGGGGGAAAAATTACCTTAGCCTGTATGTTATAAAATAGTAGAGTGTTAGAACTCAAAGGAACCGTCAAGACCATTTCTTTCACATTTTCTATCATTCACTCTAGCATTTAGTGTCCCACAGAAATGATGCATGAAAAGGTGGAATGTTTGACACTCTTGAGACTGGGTGAAGCCCTTTCCTTACCGCTGGTCTTCTCCACATGTATACTTTGAATGATCAAGTGGAAGACATCATAAGTAGAGTTTCAAAAATGTATTTGCCCAGGAACAGGATATTTGGTTTTATTTTGTTTTCCCCCAAAGAATATCTCATTGGCGGTTTCCAGAACCTCTGTCTCATGGAACACAGTTGGGGAAATATTAATTTGGTTCAATCCCAAAATCTCAAGAGATGGGCTATCTTACATAAAGATTATAAAACAAGTTGGCAAATATGATATCTTTTCCACTCCTCCCCAGATTTCATGGTTTTGGTAATCTTTCTATTTATACAACTCTATTCCTCATTCCACACAGTGCCATGGTAGTGAATGTGGGTGGTTAATGAATGTGAGTGGGTAATGATATGGCTGCCTTTCCATTTGGGGCATACACACCAGAATTCAAACTTATATCACAGCAATTGGCTGAGCAAGGTTTTCTATCTTTTCCTTCTTTCAGACAGACTGGCCTGAAGGCTACCAACTTTCAAGTGCAATGAATTTCCGCTGGCCACAGTGTGTACCTGATAACTTAAAGACCTTGATTCCCAATGCTAGCAGTGAAGCAATCCAGCTCCTGAGAGACATGCTTCAGTGGGATCCCAAGAAACGACCAACAGCTAGTCAGGTTTTCCTCCATTTTCTTCTGTTTGATGTGCTTCTTATGAAGTTCATATCTAACTCTGAATAATTTCTTTCAGTTGCATAGGAAATATGTAGTATTATGGGTGAGAAATAGTACAGAATACCACTAATGATGTACTACGTAAGGTATGAGAACTTAAAATAGTTTGAAACTTACTGGGTATAAAGTAATTAAGATGTAAACAATATAGTTGCTTTGAAAATTGGCATATAATTCACATGATACATCACCATTTGTATGGAAATGGAAATAAACATATATTTTTCTGTCTTTGGAGAATATTTTCAAATCTATTCTCTATGAGTTACAAGTTTATAGTAGTTTGTTTATAAGCCGGTACTGGTTGTTAAAATGCAACTTCATGTCATGTAAAGTCCAACTGACTCATGACCTAAAGAGATCAGATGAGGTAGGGCTAGGAGAGTAACTGTACTTAGCATTTCATAGCACTTCACAGTGTGCAAACGCTTGAGTATGTTTTATGTGATTTTCACTTGAAATGAAGTCAGGTTCTCTGACTTCATAGCTCCTGCTTTCCCAGCCACTTAGACTTAAATAATGAAATATACCCGAAAGAGGTGTGGTAATGCTGTGGGCTCTTATCACTCACAGGCCTCCTGCAAGCCTCCTATTGTGGTAGTTACATCTGGCCCCTTCTCAACTTGTCTCATTGACAGTTACATTGCTCAGAGGATCAAATAAGTGACCAATTTTAATCAGAGAAGATGATTCAGGAGTGATGAGGATATTTGAAGAAAGTGCCAATATGGTGGTAGAATTTGTGATAGCAGGGGAGATGATGGTTGGAGGAATAGTTAAGGAGTGTAGAAAAGCAATTTTCCAAAAGCTCAAGCAAGAAATAACCACAATTTGGTGTCATAAGACTTTGGATGGCTCAAGGGTTGAAAGGCTCTCAGAAATGCACTCCTGGTGGTGAAATTCACAAATCACTGCAGGGCAGGAAAGCAGCTTTTTGATTAACGCAGTTTTTTAAAGGATGCATATAAGAAATGAAAAAGATTCTGTAACCAGGAACCAAGAGAGGAATGTATGCTTTTAAGAATAGTGTGAAAAGCTAAAAATACCCCCCAAATCAGTTAAGACTTGCAAAAATGTCTGCAACTACAGAGAAGGCTTTCAAACTATAATAGATGCTAATGTCTGGGACCTCTACCAGGTTATCCCCATTAATTGCCTCTTTACACTTGCATATAATCATCACAGATGTTTATAACTGTCCCAGGCTTGCTAAGAAAGATTATGCTATCCTTAATGACTTTCATTCAAAAAGACAAGAGAATACAGGGAATATTGCAGAAAGAATTGTAAACCCCAAACCTTAAGTTATCTCTTGGCTGTATAGAAAACTCAGTTATCCAGAACAACTGACAGGGTTTCATTCTTGATAGAGAAGGTTTAACTATATCATGTTTTACACTTCTGGCACTTTCGGGATAAAAGCATATGCGCCTGCTTATTTTGTACTCAGTTCTTCAGTGTCTTCCAGGATCATTATGTTCGGCTCTTTCAGTTTTTTATTATTATTTTTTTCTTCTTCCATGGAATGAGGAAATAGGCTTAGAAGGATGAAGTACCCTATTTAAGACACATGGCAAATGAGTTACAAAACCAGGATCTGTGTTCATCCAGAATGCTTTTTAGAAGTAGCCAGGGTAATAGCAATGTCACTGGCTACTATGTAGAAATAATTTTGTGTTGCAATCATTACATATATTTTATGGTATCTTAGATAAGAAAAATCACAAGGGGTATTAAAAAATCAACATGCTGTTTTCTAGTTGGGCTAAAACAATAGTAAACTGGTTGCAATGAAATATAGCCCAGTAATCAAGATAATAGTATCTTTCCTGGCTAGACTTTTCTCCTAAAGCCTTCTTTGTCATTCCAGGCACTTCGATATCCTTACTTCCAGGTTGGACACCCACTAGGCAGCACCACACAGAACCCTCAGGATTCAGGAAAATCACAGAAAGGCATCCTGGAAAAGGCAGGCCCACCTCCTCATATTAAGCCAGTCCCTCCTGCCCAGCCACCAACCAAACCACACACACGAATTTCTTCACGACAGCATCAAGCCACCCAGCCCTTTCTGCATCTCACATACCCCTACAAAGCAGAGGTCTCCAGGACAGATCACCCGAGCCATCTCCAGGAGGACAAGCCAAGCCCGCTGCTTTTCCCAGCCCTCCAGAACAAGAATCCCCAGTCGGTGAGCAGCCCAGATGCACCAGTGAGCTTTGTGTCTGCTTATTCCTCTTTTGACCCCACTTATTGTGGGACATGTTTTCTCTTTCAGTATACAGAGTCTAATCACGGTAGATTTACATTTGCAACAGCATAGAATTGTGAAAAGACCCTTGGCTTTGGAGTGAAAGATCTAAATTCAAGTTCTGTCTGTGCCTGTTAATAACATTGTCACTCAGGTGACAGCTGTAGCGTAGTGGTTGGGAGCTGGCCTCTGCAGCCAGACCGCCAGGGGTTCAAATCTCAGCTATGCTGTTTAATAGCTTGATACCTGTGCAAGTTACTTGGCCTCTCTGTTTCTCATTTTCCTCATCTGTAAAGTAAGGATAATAATAGTACTTAACTGCTACAATTGCTTTCAGGACTAATGAGTTAATACTTGAAAAGAATTTAGAATAATACCTGGCACCTAGTTACAACTCTGTAAAGGTTAGTAGTTGTTATCATTAATCCCTGTGGACTCAGTTTCCTCATTTGTAAAAGGAAGAGTATAGTGCACATCTTACCTACCAGACAGGGTTGTTCATGAAGATCAAAGGTCATGCTATATATAAGATGTTTTGAAAAACATAAAAGTGCTGTATTAATATTTATAGATTGTTATCCATATTGTTGCTGTTAATCGATACTGTTAATGCTGGACTATTAACTGAGCCCAGATCCTTCTGCTCCTCTTGGGCTAGTTTTCAAGAGAAAACAATGAGTGTTAGATTTAATAAAATAATAACCTGACAAGGGGTTCTGTTTTTTGCTAGCTTTGCAGTGCCGTCTGAAGAGGCCAACTTTCTATCACTTGTACAAAAAAGTGGCACTTTCTGTGTCAGTTAGTATTTGCTGAGTGCTGGCTCCCAGTCACCATAGTGTGAGACATTACCAAATCAGGGCGGCATCTCTGGCCTGTTCACTTTATTCCAGCACACAATTTTGAAGTGGTGTGTGTATGGAAATGTCCTGTTGTAGCTAATTCTTTATAGCTAAGAGATAGCAACCATATCTACTGAAAAGACAAAAAAAAAAAAAAAGCATTATCTGCATTGATTTCTGTAAAAGGTCAGGCAAGCTGACATCTTAGCCTTAATTTCTTTCATCCATTTTTATAACAGTAGAAATCACATGAACTCATCTAGGATGAGACTATGTGTGAATCTAGCCACCTTTCTGGTATGTGAGAAGTACCTTAAACATTTTTTTATCCTTATTTTATACAACTAACATCTTCAGTGGATGGCAGCTGATGTGATCCATGCAGGATGAGTGAGACAGAAAGATTGGGACTGTGTTTTCCACAGTTGCCCCTCAGATCAGCAGCGTCATGCTCCAGGAGCCTCCTTTGCATAGGAGAGGAAGTTTAGAATGGAGATTACTCATGGATGAGTTCCATTAATGCCAAGTATTCCTTCCCCCTCCCCACCCCACTTGTTTACACAGAAAATCACAGCTGGCCTGGAACACAAAAATGGTGAGATAAAGCCAAAGAGTAGGAGAAGGTGGGGTCTTATTTCCAGGTCAGCAAAGGATTCAGATGATTGGGCTGACTTGGATGACTTGGATTTCAGTCCATCCCTCAGCAGGATCGACCTGAAAAACAAGAAAAGACAGAGTGATGACACTCTCTGCAGGCAAGTGTGCTGCTCACATTCATAAACACACTGAAGCTGGGATTGGTGAGATTATTGGTACATATCTGAGGATATACGCTGTCTCTCATGCTGACCCAAGCCATGCTCTCTTCATTCAGGTTTGAGAGTGTTTTGGACCTGAAACCCTCTGAGCCCGTGGGCACAGGAAACAGTGCCCCCACTCAGACGTCATATCAGCAGCGAGACACACCCACCCTGAGATCTGCAGCCAAGCAGCACTATTTGAAGCACTCTCGATACTTGCCTGGTAATATAAATGACTTGGCTTTACTTTGACTTTTGATAAGAAATCCTATCCTTGGAATCACGTATCACTCACAAAGATTCTGTTTTAGAAGGTAGATACTAGGGGATTCCCTTCAGAACTGACGGACACATCACAGAAATATTTGCTGAGGCCCAAGCCTCACGTTTTTTTTTTTTTTTTTTTTGAAATGGAGTCTCGCTCTGCTGCCCAGGCTGAGTGCAATGGTGGCATCTTAGCTCACTACAGTCTCTGCCTCCTGGGTTCAAGTGATTCTCCTGACTCAGTCTCCCAAGTAGCTGGGACTACAGATACCCACCACCACGCCCAGCTAATTTTTGTATTTTTTACTAGAGATGGGGTTTCACCACGTTGACCAGGCTGGTCTTGAACTCCTGACCTCAAGTGATCCACCCACCTCAGCTTCCCACAGTGCTGGATTACAGGCATGAGCCACTGCGCCTAGCCTCAGGCCTCAAATTTTTATCCTTTATAGTCACTCAAGATATGAAATATGGTATAGGAGACTGGGTCCAACCTCCAGGGAGGAAGGAACTGGCAAGAGCTGGGTGGCATGTCTGAGGCCCCTCTACCAGACCAGGCTTAGGGGAAATTGCCAATAGGGAAACCAGGGCCGGAGCTTAGACACACCATCCTGGCAGTAATATGGGGGTTAAATGTCAGTGCTATAGTTTGGTGGGTTCCCAAGCCTTTGTCTTGATTTTCTATTTTCCAAACTTACAACATTAGTGAATCATTCATTCAATACATATGTATCAAGCATCTACTGCATGCCAAGCACTGGGAATATTATTGCAAACAAAATAGCCAAGCAGAGCCACTAGGTCACACAACTCTGGGGAATTCCTTCACATTGTAGTCTACACAGCAGTTTTATACAGCAGCTTTGCAAACAACATCCTCACCCTCACACAGCTTATATGCTAGCAGTGGGAGTGAGACTTTAACAAATGGACACACAGTAATCACAGATCGTAAAAGAATGGTCAGGTAGGGCCTCTCTGAACAAGTGACTTGGCTGGGTCCTAAAGAATGAGAAGGAACCAAATGTGCAGAGAGCTGAGGGCAGAGCACAGCAGGGAGAGGGGAACAGTGAGTGAAAGATCTGGAGCCAGGAGCGGGCTTGTCCTGTGAGAGGAACGGCAGAGGCCAGTGTCGCCAGAGCACAGTGAGAAAGGAGGTGGCGTAATGTGTAGTATGAGGCATCTTTTGGGGCCCTGTAAGAAATTTGGATTTTACTTCACGAGCAATGAGAAGTCCTTGAAGGGTTTTAACTGAAGGAGTGATGTGGCTGTATCAACACCTCTGTGCTGAGTAGGGGAGGGGCTGGCAAGCTGTAGCTGTCATCCAGGCGAGGGGGATGGCAGCACAGGCTGGGGTGCAGTCAGAAGGGAGGGATGGGGTGGGAATGACAGGCCCTCCTGATGCATCTGGGAATGTGGCATCTAAATACTGCTAAACTTCATCAGGATTGACGTTTTGGTCTTAGAAGATTGGCCTGACAGGTCCCAGGATGATCCAGAAGAGAGCTCCAGATAACAGGTATAGGGTGATGCAGTAGGCAGGACCAAGCCTTGAATTACAGTGACCACAGGCAGAAAGGAGCAGGGAGTGAATCTGAGAGCTTTTTATTTCTTTTTGGTTGTAGAGGAAGGAGGAGAAGGATAAAGGGGGAATTTAAACTGTCAGTTCTGAAAAATAGCTGCAGTGCCAGTGGGAATGGGAGTGATCTGGAGGAAAAGTGGCTTTTGTCCTGAGGTCAAGGTCAAGGCAGCCCCATTCCGGGAGGCCATGGGTGTGAGGGACCACAGTCGGTGAGAGTTCCCTGTACAGACCAGAGTCATCAGCATGTGAGGGTAATGATGGTCCTGATGAGGTGAGAAGATGGAACCGTGGGGACAAGACAGAATGAGGAGAGCAGAGAGCTGCAGAGTTGGAGGCTGGGGATTTGGGATAGAGAAGAAACTGAAAAGGTGACTGAAAGGAAGTGGTCTGTGAAGGGGAAGAACAGAACATCCAGCAGCTGCAAAGCCCAGGATGGCACAAGAGGGTCAGGATGTGGAACAGATCCATTAGTAGAAGCGGAAGAGGCCTCTCTTGGGCACCTATAAGTGAGACATCTTTCCTCTGACATCTGTCGGATGACATCATCACACTCAGTTTTTGTTTTGATTATTGCATTATCGAGTGTTTTTGACAAATTGCGTTCTGCATTAATTTCATCTTTGTAGTCTGGTGTAAGATTCAATGTGTATTTTGCATTTTCAAATCCTTTCTTCTCTATTAGGGATAAATATAAGAAACGGCATACTCTCGAATCCTGGCAAGGACTTTATTCCACCTAATTCATGGTCTAGTTCTGGCTTGTCTGGAAAATCTTCAGGGACAGTGTCAGTAATCAGCAAAGTAAATTCAGGTGGGTAATGATCATTAACCCCCAAATTTGCAAAAAGCAAATTCCCTGGATGCAGCAAGGTGGGCACGGGGAACCATGAGACAAGCTTTGGAAGCACAGGGGCCTTTGTGGTCTGAAAGCTCAGGCCTCTTTTCCAGCCCTATCCTCCTGTCTCTTTCTTGGCTGTAGTCCCTGGGGACTCAGCTAGCTCCCATAGGAGTCTGCCTTCAAGGGTAGCTGGGGAGTAGAGCACATTCCCTGGCTCAAGGGAAAAACAAAAATACCTTGACAGACTCCTACTAGGCCGGACGGCCGAGGCCCTGGCTGCAGCAGTCACCCTCTCCTGAGGTAGAAGTCACCCTTGGCTGTGTCTGCCTTGTTCCAGCCCATCCGCTCCTTCTGATGACCCAACTGCAGACCCAGTATCAAGATCCCTTCTAGTTGGAAGGTGGACAGTTTGGAAGGCCCTTCCCACTCTTTTTGTTAAATGGATGAATGAATTTGCTGAGTCCTAATGCTGACCAACCCTGTTCACCGTAGAAGCGTTTCCCACATCCATTTTCCCTCACGCAGGCAGCCCTGCCATGTGCTGCTTCCCCTCTGCACTGCCAACTGGGCTTCACTTCTCCCTACCCTCATCCATTAGGTGTTTGTTTATCTTAAGGAATACAAAAAAGAAAGAGATAGTATAGCAATGCCTGTATAGCCACCACTCAGCTTAAGAAGTCAAACTTTGGCCAGGCAAGGTGGCTCATGCCTGTAATCCCAACACTTTGGGAGGCTGAGGCGGGTGGATCACTTGAGGTCAGGGATTCAAGACCAGCCTGGCCAACATGGCAAAACCCTATCTCTACCTAAAATATAAAAATTAGCCAGGTGTGGTGGCAGCAGGCCTGTAATCCCAGCTACTCAGGAGTCTGAGTCAGGAGAATCGCTTGGACATGGGAGGTGGAGGCTGCAGTGAGCCGAGATTGTGCCACTGCACTCCAGGCTTGGTGATTAGAGCAAGATTTGTCTCAACAAAAAAAAAAACCAATAAAAAACAAACAAACAAAGTTAGACTTGGCAAATGCACATAAAGCCCGGTATCTGGGCCTTTCCCTCCCATCCTCCCCACTTCCCCTTAACTCCCTCCATGCCAGCCTGATCAAGTTTTTATTTGGGTTTGTATAAACTTCATAGTGTGGTTTTGCAGGTTTTAAAATTTATTTGAACATAATCTTTGGATCACTGCTTCATGCATTTTAATAAATATGTGTGTAGCAATTATAGAGATATGTTATATAACATATATATATACAATATCATAACTTATTATTTATGTAGACTGATTTATATATGCCTTCTCTTCTTGATGAACATGTAAGTTGTTTGCAATTTTTGCTACTAGAAAGAGAGCTGAGATGATTGTTGTACCCTATTGTTATGCACAGGTGTCAGGATTCCTCTGGGTATGATAAATAGGAGTCAACATTTTATTTTATTTTATTTTATTTATTTGAGATGAAGTGTTGCTCTGTTGCCCAGGCTGGAGTGCAGTGGCACAATCTCGGCTCACTGCAACCTCTGCCTCCCAGGTTCAAGCAATTCTCTTGCTTCAGCCTCCGTAGTAGCTAGGATTACAGGCATATGCTACCACACCCAGGTGTTTTTTTGTTTGTTTATTTTTTGTTTTTGTATTTTTAGTAGAAACAGGGTTTCGCCATGTTGGCCAGGCTGGTCTAGAACTCCTGACCTCAGGTGATCCATCCACCTCAGCTTCCCAACATGCTGGGATTACAGGTGTGAGCCATCAGAGTCAACATTTTAGGTTAAAGGGTGTGCTCGTCTTCAACTTCACAGATACTGCCGAACTGCTCTCCAGTGGGATATGGGAGTTGCTCTGCATCCTTGATGCCACTTGGTACTGTCTGACAAGTGTGAAATGGTGTCCTCTTGTGGTTTAAACTTGCATGTCCTGTTTACTAATGGGGTTCATCATCTTTTCTTGTGTTTGTTGACTATAAGTTTTTTCTCTTTTATGACTTACCTATTCAAATTCTCTTCCCATTTTTCTTCATTCACCAAAGTGTGAAATGCACTCCCGCTGACCAACACAACTCCTCACACAGGCATTCCATCCTGTGTTTCCCACTCTGCCTCAAGCAGTTGCTGAAAAGCCTCTGTGTTGTGGAAACAGAGCAGCTCTACCACTTATTGACTTTTCTTAATGGATAGAACTTCCATTTTTATAATGGGCAATAAAGACAGTCTTCATTGTTCCATGTGTATCTTCGAGCCTTAATAATAAGAATTATAGATATTAATTCACTCATCCAATATTGATTGATTACCTGCTGTATGCAAGGCATTCAGTTATCCTCCCCAGAGTACAAAGATGAGTAACATACAGTCCCTGCCCTTAAAGCTCTCCCAAGTGGAAATGACATAAAAAGTGAATGTATTTAGTATTTTTTTAAATGGTTAATTTTTCTGATGTGGATAAGAATATTTAGTGTGTTATTACTTGTCACAGCTAAATAATATAACCTGTGTGTTGATCTGTAAGAAAATGGTTAAATGGACTATGGTTTAGCCATACTCTAGAATATATATATACTGACATGGAAGGATAACTATTCTATATTATGGAGTGAAGAAAGCAAATTTCAGAACAGTCCAAAGCTACTTTTACAAAAGGGAAATAAAAAATGTCACAGCCAACCAACCCTGTATTTGGTTGCCCCCTACAGGAGCAGTGCTGTCTTTGACCCTCGCCGTCTTTCTGACAGAGTCAGAAAAACTAGCCAGGCACGGTGGGATGCTCGGCTGAGAATTCATTTTTATCACGATTTGCTATTTTCCCTCAAAGTAAAAACTTAGTTTGTTATTGCTCTGCAGTGCTGTCATTAACCTTTTGATGTCCTGGGTCCATGTCTTTGTAGTAAAAGAGCTTTTTACTTTTGCAAATCAGTTGGTTCCAGCTCTACAAGTTCTAGTGGACTGACTGGAAACTATGTCCCTTCTTTTCTGAAAAAAGAAATTGGTTCTGCTATGCAGAGGGTACACCTGGCACCTATTCCAGACCCTTCCCCTGGTGAGTTCTATTTTAAATGATTCATGAATTGACTCAACAAATGGTTACTCAACAACTACTCTTGACATGATTGTTCATCTTACAACTGCATGTTGTAGGCTTGGGATCCACCAATAAATGAGACTTGCCCTCTACGATAATAAGTAAGCTGAATAAGTGCTATATAACATATAGTAAGTCAGATGCTTACTGACTTACTGCTAAGGAGAAAAATACAGCAGACAGGAGGTAGGGATTATGGGGGTTGTAGTGTGGGGTGCAGCTTGCAATTTTAGATAGAGTAGCTAAAGAAGAACTCACTGCAAAGGAGTTGTTGAGTAAAGACCTGGAGGAGGTGATTGAGCAAGCATGCAGTATGAGTGAGGCTTTTTCAGACAGGAGATTCTTCTCTGCTTGAGCTTTGAGGCAGAACTGGCCTGACAAATTCAAGGAGCAGCAAAGATGCCAGAGCATGGGAGTGACATGAGTGAGAGGGGGCATGGCAAGATGAGGTCAGGGGCAGTAAGACGAGGTCAGGGGCAGTAAGACGCCTGTAAGCACATTGTCATGGATTCTGAGTGACGTGGAGCCCCCAGAGGGCTTTGATCCAGAAGTGAGGTAATCTGACAGCTATCTTCACGGGCTCCCCCAGGCTGCTGTTGTCATTAGACTGAAGCAGGGGCAAGGTTGGAAGCAGGGAATCCAATTAGGAGGATGTTGAAATTATCCAGGCAAGAAGTGATGCTGGCTTGGGCCAGCGTGGTATTAGTTGAGCTAGTAAAAAGCTACCAGGTTCTGTAAATATTTAGAAGGTAGAGCTAAGAGGATATGCTGACAAATTATATGTGGTACATGAAAAAAAGAGGAGCCAAGAATTGTGCCATTATTTTTGGCCTGACAACTTTAAAATGTTGTCTTTAACTGTAGTAGAGAATATTATAAGTACGAGACAAGATACTTCTCTTGAACTCCTTATTTTCTCATGTTTTTGTCACCAGAATGCAATTATTTGCACTTTGCTTGCACTGGCCGCATATCAGTCCTGTCAGCCTTTTTCTTTCATTGCAGGTTATTCCTCCCTGAAGGCCATGAGACCTCATCCTGGGCGACCTTTCTTCCACACCCAGCCTAGAAGCACTCCTGGGTTGATACCACGGCCTCCAGCCGCCCAGCCAGTGCATGGCCGGACAGACTGGGCTTCCAAGTACGCATCTCGGCGATGACTATCTGCCTTGGTGATGAATCTCTTCATAGGGAGAAGCAGGAAACTTTTTCTCAGCTGACTAATGTTCTACCTGCAAGACGTGAAGAGGGCATAAAAGCAAATCAATACTTTATAGTTATTCTGAACTAAGACATGTCAATATTCTTTTTTAAAGTTTTTTTTTTTAATATTGATTTGAATGCAGTACGCTTTTTTGTATAAAATTATTTTATTCTGAAACTGGGTCCCATTATTTTCTTAAACAACAGCATTTTGTATATATGGATTATGTTTTAGCATTTTATACAGTCAACTTTGTAATGAACTTTTTAAAGATAATTGATTTTCCTTTGGGGTTCCAGATAATATTTTATACAGATTTTGAAAAATGTAATAATATTAATGCAGTATTGCAACAGGGGTGCAATTTAAGGTGATGTGATAGAGGCTCAGTGTGTGCAGTTATTTATGAAGTGGTTAAATTTTAAGTATGACTCACTAGGTACTTCAAGCTTTCTTGGACTGTTGTTAGAAAAGTGATCCTCTGCTTTTCTTAATAAGTCATTGGTTTGGTTTTTGGGTACCACTCTGCTGCTGTTCTAAAAGAACTATTAGATAATTGGCTTTGTTTTATTTTTGTTCCCCAGATGAAAGAAGACTAAGTAAATACATTTTTAAAAATTTCCCCAACACCCTTTAATGTGGTTGCAGATATCAAATGAAATGAGGCTTAATCATACTATGCCATTATATTCTCGTTTATTCTATTTTTGAAATTAAATTGTGTGTGTACCAATAAAAGGAGAGCTTTCTGCATCAAAAGGCTCCCAACATAAAGGTTAATACAGTCTATCAAACTTATATTCCTGCCAAGGTGCATGGCCAAAAAACAAGTATCAAAGCAGCAGAAGGTTTTCGATGATAATAACCGAGATGTAATTTTGCGCCTGGCTCAGTTCTCCAGATCTGGCTAGGAGCAGTCAATGACTAATCTTCTATCCTAGCCAAATTCTCAGGACAATTTGGGGAGCAGAAAGAGTTATGGCAGAGGTTCCACTCATCTGTGAAGTCACAGTCATATGCCACATTTGATCTTCTAACCCTGGTGTAGTGTCTTTCAAGAGAGAACTTTATGCATTGAGCAGAGGCTATTCCATTGAGAGGAATGTTTACAGTAATTTCGAAAATGACAAAGCCAGTTTGGAGACAGAAAAAGACAAAAGGTCCAGTCTTATCCATCTCTATATGGTATATTTTCCTCATTCAGGTTACCTTAGAGGCAAGAGGGAAGGTCACCATCAGTGAATGCAATGTAATCTCAAGAGTATATTGACTCATATTCTCTTAGGGCTCAAACTACTGTCTGTTGGTTCTGGGTTTCAGGATAATGGCAGGTTGAACCATATGTAAGTGATCATTTTTATAGGTTAAAATGATAGGTGAAATGAATATAGACACTTCCATATGGTTCAACCGAATGAGTTGGTAAATAATTGCTTTGGTGTATTAATAATACGTTGCATTCTGAACGAATTACCATGGCTTCCAAAAAGCCCTAACCTGAAGGCAGAGAGTGATTTATGCTTTGGAGAATCTGACTCAAAAATATACTTGACCAAGCACCATGATCCCTAGGGGCATGAGAAAAGCACATAATGGATGTGAATGTGATAGGTGGTCTTTTCCTGTTAACGAGCTGGCAGCAAAGCTTCAGAAAATATACATGTAAGCACAACTTGAAGCTGGATTCATTTCTGTATTATATTCTCAACTCATTATCTAAAGCATCAGAAAATGTGTTTTCAGAAATGAGTCCTGCCGGGCTCGGTGGCTCAAGCCTGTAATCCCAGCACTTTGGGAGGCCGAGGTGGGTGGATCACGAGGTCGAGAGATCGAGACCATCTTGGTCAACATAGTGAAACCCCGTCTCTATTAAAAATACAAAAAACTAGCTGGGCATGGTGGCGCATGCCTGTAATCCCAGCTACTTAGGAGGCTGAGGCAGGAGAATTGCCTGAGCCCAGGAGGCAGAGGTTGCGGTGAGCCGAGATCGCGCCATTGCACTCCAGCCTGGGTAACGAGAGCGAAACTCCGTCTCAAAAAAAAAAAAAAAAAAGAAATGAGTCCTTTACTATAAGGTTAAAATTTATTTTCCTTTTCTGTATTATATATAAAGAGTAAATTAATCTGAAACCTTGCCCAGCTTGCTGGAAAGCAGGTTTTAAATTGTAAATATTCCTTAGAGGAGCAAATGGATTGTTTAATACCATAGTCTTGGTAATCTAGCTTATATATAAGGTCATTACATTTTTTTAATTGAAAAACCTAGTTACTTAATTATTTCACATTATAAAATTGTTTTTCTAATACTTTTGTAGGGTCCAAATTCAGAAAATACTTCACTTTCTTCCTTTTATGCTTTCCTTTGTTTACCAGCAGACAACTTCCTGGGGAAACCAAACCATATTCATAAAAAAGTCAAGTAGCTGATGTGCAGTTGAGAAAACTAGAGGACTGAAAAAACAAATTCTAACTAGCAAATGCTATGAAGGACTCTTCCTCCCCGCTCTCTGAAATGGGTAAAGGACTAATTGTGTATACAAGCTATGCACTATAGAAGGGAATATTAACCATTTCTTTTGTCTCCATTTTTGTTCTGACTGAGATTCTGTTACATGAAAATAAAATGCTACTTGTTAGCTGTATTTTTTGTTTTTATTGAATTATAAAATGTAATATAAGACCAACAGAAATGATGTACCTGTAACTGTACCTATCAGGACCATACCTCATTTACAATCAGAAAGTTTACTGGGATGTCAGGAAATGATACAGGGTTAGTTCTCATTTCATGCTGAAATGAGACAAAAGTTCAGTGACAAAGGTGTGCTGTGGGGGTACTGATGTGCCCCACGTAGAGCAAGCAGAGCAGGGAAAACAGCATTTGCATAAAACTACTCTTGACATGGTTGTTCATCTTACAATAAAATTTCATTCATCGGCCGGGCGCGGTGGCTCAAGCCTGTAATCCCAGCACTTTGGGAGGCCGAGGCGGGTGGATCACAAGGTCGAGAGATCGAGACCAACCTGGTCAACATGGTGAAACCCCGTCTCTACTAAAAAAAAAATACAAAAAATTAGCTGGGCATGGTGGCGCGTGCCTATAATCCCAGCTACTCAGGAGGCTGAGGCAGGAGAATTGCCTGAACCCAGGAGGCGGAGGTTGCGGTGAGCCGAGATCGTGCCATTGCACTCCAGCCTGGGTAACAAGAGCGAAACTCCGTCTCAAAAAAAAAAAAAAAAAAAAAAAAAAATTTCATTCATTACCAAGCCCTCACCCCAGCTCATGTATGATAGGTTTTATGTAGGAAGAAACTTGATTTTCAAATAGTTTTCAAAGTATATCTCTTACCTAAAGGACTATATACATCTAATAAAGTAACACTGTGTCATTTTCTGGAGTTATCAAAAATTGTATTCAATCAAGACAGCACAAAATAAGAATTATTTTCTTTTTAAGTGCAACTACAGGTACTGTTGGAGTTAACGGGCACCATGCTTTCTCATGAAGTAGCATTTCCCTACCATTAAGCCATTGTTTTGTGCCATTCAAAAGAGGAAAAAAAGGAATTTAGGCTGTACATTTCAGTTCAGTGTATGACCAAAAGCAATATGTTTATAAGAAGATGTTTGACATACTCATTATTTTATGTCATTTAAAGCATACTGTAGCAATTTGTTTAATATATGTAGTTAATTTTTAGAATTATTTTTACTATTTTTGACCAAATGTACTGTACTTTTATATAATTTATTGTAAGGGCATTCTCATGGAAACCATTAGGAAGACAGACTGGAGGTAAATATCACATGAATCTGTATCACCAGTTTCTCATAGACACTGTGCTAATGTGAATTTTAGATGAACTCAATCAGTCTTCTGATCTCAGATATCTCAGTACAGATAGAAATTAGTCACCTGATTTGATTACAATGGAGTAACTGACAATATATTTATTTATAAAGCAAATTTTCATAACAATGAGAAGATAGGAAGACAGAAAACCACTCAAGCAAGACCCTTCTAAAATAAAAATGTTGTTTTTTAAATAGTTTGTCCCAAGGTGTTTAAAAATGTCAACCTTATGTAAGGAAAAATTTCCTGTTCCAAATAAAGTTGAAATTTAAGAAAAATTGATGTGAGCGTTCTGTTTTTGTTTTCATGTTCTTCCATTAGTATTTTCTAATTTTTGTCCTTTTTTAGTTCATTTGGAACTTTGATGTTTTATAACTTCTGAATGCTTAGTATTGTGTTATCGCTGTGAAGTTAGAAGCATACACTTAGAGTAGCAGAATAAAGAATTATCCTGCAATATGGAGGCTTTTTTTAAATTTAGCTTTTAGAAAGCTAGGTGCCTGGGAGTGGTGGTTCATACCTCTAATCTCAGCACTTAGGGAGGATCCCTGAAATATAGGAGTTTGAGACCAGCCTGGGCAACATGGCAAGACCCATCTCTACCAAAATTACAAAATTTAGCCAGGTGTGGTGGTGCGCACCTGTGGTCCCTGTTACTTGGGGGTCTGAGTCAGGGGAATTGCTTGAGCCTGGGATACAGAGGTTACAGTCATCCCAGATCACCCCTCTGCACCGCAGCCTGGGCAAAAGAGCAAGGCCCTGTATAAGATTAAAAAAAAAAAAAAAAAAAAAAAAAAAAAAAAAAGCAGGTGGAAACAGTTTCATGTTCCCGATTTCATCATTTTGACCTGCTTTGTATGTCTTTTAGCTTTTCACAGCAAATTCTCATATACAACATAAACCTTCAAAAGAAGTTCATAACTTCATGAGAATGTCATAGTTTGTAACTTCTAAAGAATGTCACAGGAAATTCATTTCTAAGCATTCTTTGACTCCTTGACAGGATTTTGTAGAAACATGACCTACCAATCAAACTTGTATTGGTGAATCCCTAAATGTGCCTCTCGCCATCAGAACACGGTGACTTTACTGTGTAATCATGGGCATTTGTCTAACTTTTTGGCATCACGTTGGGCTCATGCTGCCCCTTCAGAAACACTGAAGAAGCCATTTCAAGCTCTCAACCATCTTTCCTGATAAGAAAACCCACTTGTTAGAGTAGACTTTGACACTAATCGCTTATAGCTAAGGCTGAATTGAAGACAAATGTTTTCCTCTTCTGGGAGTATACAAAGCTCTTAAACTGAGATTTGAAGGTCTTGATCTTTGTGCAAGCAATTTTACCTACTACTGAGTGGATGAGTGCAGGGTTGAGGCTAAGAAGACTTCTCAGGGCCTCTGAAAATGTGTCAGGTATGTAGGTAGGTAGAATAGATAGATAAAATGAGTACGACTGTCTCAGAATGAGGACAACTGTAAGGGTCTTCAAGAACAAGCAGGTTGATGATGTCAGGGGCTTCAAAGGAATAAAATGGCTTTGGGATACCTGTCATAAAATGCCAGAACTATTATAACAGGAGTTTTCATTTCTCCCCAAGCCTGTGTAATAATAGAGTCATGCTGCTACCTTATTTACACTTTCAGGTGAGCAAGGCTGAGTGTTGCCAGAAAAAGGTGTCCTGATCCAGACCCTAAAAGAGGGTTCTTGGATCTCACACAGGAAGGAATGTAAGGTGAGTCACAGAGTACCATGAGAAGCAATAGTTTATTGACAGCTACTCAGTTACAGAGTAGAGCATCCTCAGAAAGCAAGAGGAGGAATCCCTCCTCTTTGTTTTTTCTTCAATAGGGTTCTTATCTATCTAAAAGTTAAGCAAAGCTATGTCTATGTCCTAACAGCATGAAAAAATACTAGTACTTGGTTAATTTAAAGAAAGTTATCCTTGGCATTTTCATGCGTAAGTATGTGAAAATATGACTATACTTATCTTGAAGGCATATAGCATTATGCAATATTGGAACACCTGGACATTCTTCTTTCATAGGAATTTTTCCTTGCAGGTATTATTAAGCCATTTCCTCAACTGTAGACATCTTAAGATGGAGTTGATTTTTTTTTTTTTAATTTTACTTTAAGTTCCAGGATACAAGGGCAGAATGTGTAGGTTTGTTACAGTGTGTCACGATCGTCTGCCGCACCTTTCAACCTGTCATCTAGGTTTTACACACCACATGCAGTAGCTATTTGTCCTAATGCTCTCCCTCCCCTCGCCTCCCAACCCCCGACTGGCCCCGATATGTGTTGTTCCCCTCCCTGTGTCTATGGGTTCTCATTGTAAGATGGAGTTGATTATAAAAGGCTAAGGCTGGGTTCGGTGGCTCACACCTGTCATCCCAGCACTTTGGGAGACCTAGGCGGGTGGATCACGAAGTCAAGAGATCAAGACCATCCTGGCCAACATGGTGAAACTCCGTCTCTACTAAAAATACAAAAATTAGCTGGGCGTGGTGGTGTGCACCTGTTGTCCCAGCTATTTGGGAGGCTGAGGCAGGAGAATTGCTTGAAACTGGGAGGGGGAGGTGGCAGTGAGCCAAGATTGTGCCTCTACACTCTAACCTGGCGCCTGGTAACAGAGTGAGACTCTGTCTCCGAAAAAAAAAAAAAAAAAAAAAAAAAAAGGCTATCACCCTGGCTCACCTACACTCCTGTTTCCATAACTCTAGAATGATGTCTCTATTTTATAAGATTGGGCATCTGAAACTGCCATTTTTGAAGTGTAAAAAGTAAGATATTAGCAATTTGGTATATAATTCAACCAATTGGAACTAAGGAAATGGAGACAAGTGCTTGGCTTAAATGTCTAATAAAAGCAATCATGGCCGGGCATGATGGATCACGCCTGTAATCCCAGCACTTTGGGAGGCCAAGGCGGGTGGATCATGAGGTCAAGAGATGGAGACCATCCTGGCCAACATGATGAAACCCCATGTCTACTAAAAATACGAAAATTACCTGGGCATGGTGGTGGGCACTTATAATCCCAGCTACTCAGGAGGCTGAGGCAGGAGAATAGCCCAAACCTGGAAGGCGGAGTTTGCAGTGAAATGAGATCATGCCAATGCACTCCAGCCTGACAACAGAGCAAGACTCTGTCTCCAAAAAAAAAAAAAAAAAAAAAAAAAAAGCAATCATAAGAGTCAGGCACAGTAGCACATCCTGTAATCACAGCACTTTAGGAGGCAGAGGCAGAAAGATCACTTAAGCTTAGGAATTGGAGACCATCCTGGGCAACATAGTGAGACCCTTTCTCTGCAAAAACTAAAAATTAGCCAATGTGGTGGCATGAGCCTGTAGTCCCAGCTACTTAGCAGGCTGAGGTGGGAGGATCACTCGAACCTGGAAGGTGGAAGCTGCAGTGAGCCCTGACTGCACCATTGCATTACAGGCTGGGCAACAGAAGGAGACCCTGTCTCCAAAAGACAAACGAACAACAACAACAACAAATTCTCACAAAAGACTATAAAACCCACAACCTTCCACAAAGGCCGTTGCAGTCTTATAGAAAAAAATGCTGGTTCTACCCTTGTTATTCATCTTTGTAGCAAAGGAAAATTATTTCAAAACAATTTTGCCATCGTCATTTTTGTCCTTTAGAAATCTTTGTTTCATTTTACCTTCCTGAATACACACGTAATTTACTATGGCATGCGTATTCGTATTGCAAAACTCTATTTCCAAATAAATTTCTTTTAGAGAACCTGTCTCTGTTTGTTATTTAGGAGTCTTGCTCTGTTGCCCAGCTTGGAGTGCAGTGGCATGATCACGGCTCACTGCAACCTCCTCCTTCCAGGTTCAAGTGGTTCTCCCATCTCAGATTCCTGAATAGCTGGGACTACAGGCACATGCCACCACACCCGGCTGATTTTGTATTTTTAGTAGAAACGGGGTTTCACCAGTTGTGAGGCTGATCTCAAACTCTTGACCTTAGATGATCCACTCGTCTCAGCCTCTCAAAGTGTTGGGATTACAGGTGTGAGCCATTGGCTTTTTCAACTAGTAGGCATTTCCAGCTGGGTGGCTCATACCAACAAAAGACAAATCAACCCATTTTCCACAAAGTTTG